TTGTTTCTTCTCATTATTTTTATTTTGTGTTGGCTCTTCTTTATCAACAATATCATTTGTAGTCCACTGTGAGCTTTCTATGTTCTGATACGATTTACAGGAAAGTGTGACACTCAGTAACGCAGCTGAGTCATTGTGCTACCTCCAAATGGAAGAGCTTTTTTTTTTCCTTTTAATATGTTTCTCTCTATATTATGGGAGAGAATCCTATTCCTCCAGGTAATTAATCAGCTAGTGTCTGGACTGGAATATTTGATTATCTTTGGTTTTGGATATTACAGGGAAATTTTTATTACTGCCACAAAATCCACCTCTCATCTCCTTTGTGAATGTTGTTGTTAGCTGGATTCATGTTGGTGTTGAAGTCATCTTGACTTCTTATATTGGCCACATGTCATCAGAACTACATAAATCCTGAATGAGAAAATATGTTACATACATTTCTGGGTACAAGACTTTCCAATTCCCTCTAAGGCTGAAGAGGAGAAATGCTGTCTAACAGCCACTGCTGATGGCAGGATTTGTGAGGCTTTAGAAGTAGCTCATTCCAGTTTCCCAGCTGGAGGGTGGTGCATCAGGGGCCGCCAGATATGCACAAAACGAAGAACTAGGTGGTGCCTCCACCAGCCAGCTTCCAACCAGGAGGGAAAATGTCAGCGGTGAAAAGCCCTGCCTTACACCTCCTTTCTCCAACAGGCACTGGGACAAGATGCCCCCGGAAACACCTGAAACCAGACTGGTTTCTGTAGAAACCTCGATCCATTTCTGTTCTGCTGACATTTGAATAAATGTGAACAGAGGGATGCACACACTGTGGATGGAGACAGCTGGTAGGTTTATCTGAGAACCATTACTAACCACTCATAGCAAAACAGTAGTTCTCTACTCACAGACTTAGATTATTCCAGTCAAGTACTTCAGAAATCTGGGATTTGTAGGCAAAAACAACACATTTCACATGGCAATAGTATTTTGCAGGAGCCTGAAACTCCCTTTCTGTCTCATGTAATCATTTTAAATAGCATAGATATGCCCTTTTCGGGATCTAAGAAAATAATTCCAGTGTCCTTTATTCTCAGAATGTCACTAATTCTAATGTAAATTCTGTTTTAATACCACTCCATTCCCTTAAGTCAGATGGAGCCTGAAACAATTACATGCCTTTTGACTTCTACTGCCTGTGCAAAAAAATCACATTACCTCAAAGATGAGATGTAAGAAAAAAGGAAGACTTGCAGGAAGAGGCAGGCATATAAAAAGACCCATCTTCAAGTGGAATTTGCATAAATGAGGGTGACTCATCCTGGTTATGAATCTAACTTTACACGCAACAATTACAGGGAACTCTATAACTCAGGAACCCTATGAAAATGAGAACTACTTACAGAATGATTTCATTTCATTGCTTTGAAGGATTGCTTGGTTTAAATGATTTTTAATTGATCACTGTTTTGTTTTACAAATTAATAATATATTAATGACATATGATATCGAATATTTTTATATGTTCTTTGCCATCTATTTATCTTCTTTGGTGAGGTGTCTGTTAAAGTCTTTGGTCCATTTTCTATGTGGGTTGTTTATATTCTTATTGCTGAGTTTTAAGAGCTCTTTGTATATTTTGAATAGCAGTTCTTTATCAGGTGTGTCTTTTTCAAATACTTTCTTCCGGTCCGTGTCTTGTCTTCTCATTCTCTTGCCAGAGTCTTTTACATTTTAATGAAGACCAGCTTACGATTTCTTTCTTTCATAGTTTGTGCATTTTGGTATTGTGTTTTAAAACGTCACAACCACACTGGGGTCATGTAGATTTTCTCCTATGCAGTCTTTTAGGAGTTTTACAGTTTTACTTTTTACATTCAGGTCTATACCCACCTTGTGAAGGATGTAAGTTCTGTGTCGAAATTCATTATGTTATACATGGATGTCCAGCTGTTCCAGCATCATTGGCTGCAGAGATTATCTTTGCTCCATTGTGTCGCCTTTGCTTATTTGTCAGAGATCAGTTCATTATATCCATGTGGATCTGTTTCTGGGGTTTCTATTCTGTTCCATTAAGCTATCTGTCTGTTCCTTCACTGATACCTCACTGTCCTGATTACTGCAACTGCACTCTAAGTCTTAAAGTCAGGCCGGGTGGGTCTGGGGCTTTTTTTCTCTCCTTCAATATCATGAGGGCTCTTCCGCGTCTTCTGCCTCTCTGTCTAAACTCTAGAATCAGGTTGTCAGTATCCACAAATTAACTTGCTGGGCTTTTGATTGGGATTCTGTTGAATTCACAGATCAAGTTGGGAAGAACTGACATCTTGACCATACTGAGTCTTCCTGTCCATCAACATGGAATATTTTCACATTTATTTAGTTCTTCTTTGTTATCTTTCATCAGAGTTTTGTGGTTTTCCTTATACAGATCGTATATTTCCTTATACAGATCGAACTTTCTTGGACTTCGATTGCTAAGTACTTCTTTGGGGGTTGCTGATGTCAATGACATTATGTTTTTAAATTCCACTTGGTCATGATTGGTATCTAGAAAAGAGACTGACTTTATTATATTAACCTTATATCTTGCAACCTCAATATGATCACTCCCTAGTTCCAGGAGTTTTTTGGTTGATTCTTTCTGATTTTCTGCATTGATGAATCTGTCATATGTGAACAAAGACAGTTTATGTCTTCTCTCCCAATCTCCATAACTTTCATTCCCTTTTCTTGTCTTATTGCATTAGCTAGGACTTCATGTACAACGTCGAAGAGCAGTGCTGAGAAGGAATATCTTTACCTTATTCCTGATGATCACTATTTTTATACCATATTTGTGCACTGCAGTCTTTTAGGTCATCCTTGGACTAAGACCCTAAATAATGCCACAGTGGGTGTGACATACATAGTGGAGAACACACAGCCTTGGATTTGGATAAACATGGGTTCTGACACTTGTTTGCTTATTGTCTGTGTGACCTTAAGAAACTATGTATCTTTCTCGATTATATTGTGTATAAATTAGAAATAATTTCTAGTTCTGGTGTCATTATGAGGATTAGAGATAATGGATAAAACATGCTTGAGCCACAGAAGTTGACTCATCTTAGTGGCTGTAATTGCTTGGCTGTAAAATCTCCCTTTGGGACAAGATTCAGAACCAACATTTGTAGACTGTACTGTCTTTATGTTAAGTCCTTAGGGAAAAATCACTTCACATTTGAAGACAGTAGCTCTCCACTGTCTGTTTTGCATCTTAATGACCTTCCTTACTGATCTCAACAGTGGACTCACAGTCATATAATTTAAGAGCTACTGTCATCATCATCAGGGGAATAAGGTAATTTCCTAATGACTAACTTGTTTAGGTTTTGTAAATACAGCTGTAACTTCAGCTTAGATATTCCCCCTGACCCAGCACATTTGGAGAATTTTTGTTTAAGTTTCTATTTCTTCACTTAGAGATGTTTACGGAAATAGAGTTGTTGGAATTTGAAATAGAAAATCGAGGTAATGTGATTTCTGCGTGGACTGTGGGAAGAGGGAATGTTATGTGAAGTTCAATCACTAGCTTGCTCTGTCTGTGCGATGCATTAAAAGGATCTAACGGCACCTGATCTGTCATTGAGTTATTCTGGACCAAGATAACACTGTTAACCTCAGGCCTTAGGCAGGTGGTTGAGAAATAACTGAAGAAGTTAAATGAAGCTTAATTAAACACATATCCTCCTACCGTGGGGCTTTCTGAAACTCAACCCACACAGTCAAGGAGTGACTATATTATTAAACAAAGCAGGCCGAAGATGAAGATGATTTGAACCCAAGACATTTTAGGATCACTAGGTTCATGGGATGTACAGCACATACATATCTAGAGTCTAATCTCTTTAGTTTGCAGAAGAGACATTTCCTAATGAGATGGAGAGCTCCTAAAATTTACATAGCCAGCCCCTGGAGAGCAGAGCTTAACATGTCGACTGCTTCTGTCATTCTTCTAAGATCCTGTGCTGCTGCTCTGAGTGGACGTGCCCTCCCACTTTTAAACTGTGCTTTTTTCTTTTTTGCAACTTGAAACACACCCACTGATGATCTGCCTTATGCAGTCATAAAATAGAGCTATAAACCTGAAAAAAAAAAAAACGCTTCTGCACAGAATTCTTAACAGATCATTTTGCACTTGCCAAGGATAAGGTTTGAATTGTTGAGAAAATCAGTATTCAATGGTGGGTGTAAGATGTTCAGTCTCTATTGATTCACATCACAGTTGGTTAGTATTGAATGTTAGCTATTAAAGCGGTATTGTACCACTAGCAATAGGCTACGTAATTCAAAAATAAGTTAACATTTTTGAGTTGTTATTTTCATATTAGGCAATGCATTTCTAGTTTCCATCCATATTACCTCATCATATTTTCAAGAATTCTTTGTCCATTTCCTTATGAATGTCCCCTGAAATAACAGAAGGTTAGAAAATTAGCTTTTGTAAATATAAAACGATCGGATAAAGAGTGAATGATGAAATGGTGAAACGGTTTGAGCTAGCAGACAGACCAATACCCATTTATTTACTGTGACACCCTGGCATTTCCCCCGAGGGTGTTTTAGGGTCTATATCTGAAAAATACTATATCAAAGCAACCCATCTTTGAAAACCTTACATGAGATGAGGTACGTGAAGCACCATCCTGCCTGGCACTTAGCTAGTGCTGGTTAACGTGAACTCACATTAGTATTTATGTCATTATTCCTACATGAGAATTTTGCATCACGGTGAATGGATAAGACCTTGACACTTTCACTGGATAGGTGATCCAAACTGATTTTGTTTTTATTTATGAATTTTAACTTCAAGTGTAGGATTTCACTTGCCGTTCATTAAAACAAAAATGTGCTTACTGGTTTTAGTAAGTGTGTGACAGTTCGAGTCTGACCACATGAGGGCAGCATGGCACCTTTTAAGACAGGGATGGAGTCATTGGGGGTGAAAGCAGTATTAAAGCTATGGAAATCACAGGTACAAAATTAAAGAAGACTAGAAGACTCCATAATGATTCTCTAATCCAGACTTCCATCTTACAGTTAGGGGAACTGGGGTTTGAAGAGGCCAGTTAGCAAGTCCCCCGTTACACAATGATGTCTGTGGATAGTGGCAGAGAACCACCCCACAGCACCAACAGCAGAACGGTTACAGCATCACCAGAGCACCTAAGTGCTCTGAGACTTTGTATTATGCACTAGTCGTGTGTGTGGCAGCATCGTAGAGGAAACTGAATATTTCTGTTAATGAATTAGCCTCAGGAATGGTCCTTCCTGGAGAAATAGAAAAATAAAAAGGAAGAGTCTCATTTCCAGAAGACGTGTGTGCTTGGAGGCAGGAGACTGAACCGTGTGACTTCTCAAGGTTGTCATTAACATTTTGCTCACAGCCTCGTGCCTGTGCGTTGCCTTGGAACTGCATCATCGACTCCACGAAGCAGGAGCTAGCCAAGGAAGGGTACTCTTCTGTTTTGCCTAGGAAATTTCCCCCTTTTTTTAACCCAGTTTTTCTCCATACCCCACTTCCAGCCACAGAGTCACACAAACACACACAAACAGCCAGAAACATGCAAAAAATCCATCCCTGTGGCCTTATTATCATGGGGACACCTGTAGGGGGAGAGTTGCTTTACCTTGGCACCCACAGTCTTCATCACACTTACCTCCTTTCCCAGCCTAGTGAGTAAGCACACGTCCTGCTGTCCCCATGACCCTGTCCTCCCTCATATCCGTACCTCTTTGCAATTCTTTCCTTCTCTCCTGCCTCACTACCATGCCACGGCATTAACCCGTCAGCCTTGAACTTTGCATGCTGTGATGCTTAATTTTATGCATCAGCTTGCCTGGGCCACAGGGGTCCCGGATACCTGGTGAAACATGGTTCTGGGTGTTTCAATGAGGGTGTTTTTGGGTGACATTAACATTTACATCAGTAGGCTGGGGAAAGCAGATTGTCCTCCGTGATGTGGGTGGGCCCCATGCAATCAGTTGAAGGCTGAACAACAAGATCAGAACAAAATATCTCATCCTCCCAAGTAGAGAAGAATTCCTCATGCCCGATCTTCTTCAACCTGGGATGATGGCTTTCTTTCAACTCAGGCTCAGCCTGAAACCCTGGCCCCGCCCCGGACCTGAAGCCAGACAGCCTTCAGAACAGAACGTCACCAGCAGCTCTCCTGGGTCTCAGGTCTTTGGATTTCAGTGGACTTACCCTGCAGATCTTGGGAGTTTCGTGTGAGTCAGTTCCTTGTAATCAATCAATCAATCCATGAGTATGTTACATTGGTTCTGTTTCTCCGGAGAACCTTGAATAGTACAGACACTTTGGTTCTCTTCGATATATTTTCAGATGAAACCAGAATATCATATGTACAACAATTTGCTCATTAGGATTATTCACTAACTTAATAAATTATCTGTTAAACATGAAATCCCGACCTTACGCTGGCACTAACCTTGAGTCCTCAGTAAGTGTCACAGATTTTTGGCATTTAGTGGGATTTAACAAGAATGTGTTGATGAATGAATATGTAAATTCAATTACTTATCTTTTGAAGAGATTTTTGATTCTGTCAGAGAGCTGGCATTTTTCTTTCCATCTACATGTGGGCGTCTCACAGCACAAAGGAAGTACTTATATTTTGGTTGCTAGGATACTTCTTTGTCCAGCCACAAGCTGTGCATATTATAGGTCTGGGCTGAAGGACGGAACAGATGCCAAGAATGATTCACTCAGAATAAAGAGGCTTAAGATAACAGTGTCAGTTGTCAGTCAATGTTAGATCATTAGATTTTTAATTTAATGTCTTAAAGTCTATAATGGGACCTTGACAGCATAGACTCTGACATGATACAGGTAAGACAAATAAGACCCTTAAGAGTGGTTCATGCGGCAAGTTGGTGTGGTTAGTAAATGAGAGGGTGATTACTGGAAATAAGATCCCCAAAGGCCCAGTCCTTGCTGCTCCTTCACAAGCAAACAGCTTCTCTATTGGCCTGTATCCAGCAACCCCTGGAAATCACCGCCCCCCCAGCAAACCACCACCATCTGTGTCAAAGCTCCCCTGGTGACCTGCCCCCCATGAGGAGCCCGCCGGGCACCATGCTCCCCCTTGCTCACTGGGCATCAGCATCTTTTCCTTCTGTTCCTGGGTCTCGCGGACCCACACGTCTGTCCACACACTGGGATCCTGTCTTCTCCTCTGAGCCTAGAATTCTCTCCTCCTCAACCCCCACATTGCTGGAGATCCACAGTGTTTGTCCCTTTCTCCCTTTAGACTTCAGCTCAGGTGTCTTCCCTGACCTCCGTGATCCAGGCAGCACACATACTGGGGATCATCTTCAACCTCACTTCTCAGCTTATTCTTCATGAAAACATTAAACTCTCCAAAAATATGTTGTCTTTTCAATTAGTTTTGCTCTTTCTCTGTATCCCTGGCAGTAAATATCTGCAAACTACAGACAAATCTCCAGGAAGACAGAAATCTATTTTGGTGATTTTTGTGTTTTATAGAGTGTTCAATGCTCTGTACGTGCTAGACCATCAAGGGATGTTCTTTGAAATGATGGACTCTGATTCAGTGAGAAGAGCAATCTGAAAATGTAGTTCATGAACTTGACTCCCGCATCAGAGGCTCACCTGCAAACACGGTTCAAGACTAAATAATCAAGTAAAAGTTCAAAAGTTTAGTGCTGTCTAAATCAGAAACTGCATTATTTGAATGAATTTGTTAAATCTGTATGGAATTTTTACACTTTGAAATGGGAGGGATTGCATGTGTGTGACTTTGGGATTAGTTTTGAATAGAAGATATGTGTGTCTTTAATTAACACAGATAATGTTGGGACCTTGTCTCAGACATTTAGTGTCACCTGAGTAGGATTACATGAGGCACACTCTGCCATTGTTTGAGTGAGGTTCTCAAGAAATCAAATACAGGAATACGCATTGTGTAAGAAGTATGTCCACTGACATATGACTGGATAAAGAAGCTGTGGTAAATTTATACAATGGAATACTACTCAGCCATAAAAAAGAATAAAATAAAGACATTCGCAGCAATATGGATGGACCTGGAGATCATCATTCTAAGTGAAGCCAGGAAAAGAAAGAAAAATACTATGTGATATCACTCATATGTGGAATCTAGAAAAAGAGGACACTAATGAACTTATCTACAAAACAGAAACAGACTCAAAGACATAGTGAACAATCTTATGGTTACTAGGGAAATGGGGGTGGGAAGGGATAAATTTGAGAGTTTGAGATTTGCAAATATTAGCCACTATATATAAAAATAGACTTTAGAAAACCAAATTTGCTCTGTATAACACAGGGACCTATATTCAATATCTTGTAATAATGTTTAATGAAAAAGAATATGAAAATGAGTATAACATTTCTTTAAATGTTATTAGTAGTCTAAATTCATGATGCATTTTGATTGACTGGTGACTCGCCGGCTTTGAGAGTCAACGTCCTCGGTTGGAAGTTGGATGAGCCAAAGGCAGGACGCGCTCGAGGCTGGGGTCGGGTTCTGGGCGCCGGGTGCTGACGCGGGAGGTCGCACAGCGGGAACATGGACCCAGGCTGGGTGAGCAGAAACGGAGGATGTGATAAGAGTGAAGATCGGAGGCAGAGGCCAGATTTAAACCCGCAAGAAATGCTGTTTGGGGAATTGCTGCCAAAAGACTAACCCCGATGGAGGTGGAGCGGGCGAGGCACAGCCGAATCAGGAGCGCATCCCGAATGGTGCGGAGCAGGAGGAATTCGCAGGTGCGGAGCCGCCCGGGGGCTGGGGGCGGGCTGAGTCGTCCTGATTAAGCAGTTAAATTGCCCATTCTGACTTCTCTCCCAAGTTGGGGAGCTGCTGCTTCTTCAGCCTGGATCTTGGAAGGAAGACAGGACCAGTCTGAAGCCTGCGATCCAGTCTGGCTTGGAAAAAAAGGCGAGCCCAGGTGAGGTCAGCCCAGCAGCAGAGCCCCACCAACATGTGAATGTGGAAGAGGATTGTTTTGGGTGTTGCTTGCCCTAGTGTGCTTCCCGCAGAAGCCTGACTGATTACCACTGGTAAATGCTTATGGTTAGTAAAATGGTGCATTTACTGAACAGAGGATACAATGATTAACTGGAAAATGCACCTAGAAATTGAAAAATTATGTCCAATTTAACTGACAAAAAGTGGATCATCACTATTTATTTGTATTTTAAATAGCCTGCTGGATCTCGTTAGGACGACTCCAATAATTTACCTCCAGCTATGTCTACACAGCCCAGTTGTCTGGACTTTGAGCAGTTGTGTCTCTGTCCTCAGGGCAGAAATCAATTGTGGGGCAAGATTCTATTTAGGGAAGGACAGACAGTTAACCTGCACCGGGACCCTGGTGTCTGTACACTGGGAATTTCCAAACAGGATTTTCCCAGTGAGCAGTTCCGACAAACGCCATGTTACCATGTGGACTGAACCGTGTGTCCCGTGTGCAAATGACGCACAGACCTGCTGATCCGGCTCGGGTGGAACGCCTGTGGTTACTCCTCTGCATTGTGACCGAGCGGTCCCATACACTGTGCCCCTGCCTTTCTTTCTAGAAGTGGGTCAGTGACAAACAAGGAAAGAAATGCAGTGACAGTCTCAGCCCTAAGGGCACGTGCGCTCCCAACAAAGCTACGTCTGATGTATTTGTTTGTTTGTAAGTCATTAGCGTATTTATTTATGTATATGGATGCTTTAAAAATTTTTTCTTATTTACTTTTAAACATCGTGAAGTTAGGGGCCGTTGCTTTCATGAAGGCTTTTCATGGGGCATCTTAGAAAGTTTTCAACACACATTTTGTCCCAGGAAAGACTGGATTTCTGGTTTAAGAAGTGTCCAGGTTGGGGAGGGGTGAATCTATTTCAGGCATTTTTCTTTTCTGATGCATGTCTGGCATGATGAACTTCCCGATATGAAATTCCAAAGGAAGGACTGAGGCTCAGGGCCTTTTGATTTCATATAAGTGGCCCCCACTCGAGCATCCCGAGACCCTGGCTTTCCTGGTGGACGCCTCTGGCAGACACAGTGTGGTCGGGCTGCCCGCTGTCACCCATGTCCTTGTTGGGAGAGCACCCACGTTGCCCTGGGGTTCCTTCTCCAGGAGCATCCGGGAGGGCCGGCTGCTTCCCATCTCCACGGGGCGAAGGTGCTGACCACCCGCCGATGGTCATCAGCTTGGGCGAGGGCGACCATTCTGGGGGTGAGACCTGAGGGGTGGTCTGCAGGGTTTCTGGCAAAGGGCTTCTTGATCTTAAAAAACTCACAGGATTGCACCCATCCTCTGCCTTAGACACAGTCAGGTGGGGAGGGAATCCCTGCAGCTGCTCTTCCCTCTGGCAGAGGGAGACCGATGGCCTGAGGGTTAAGGAATCGGGCTTTGGAGTGAGTGCCGGCTTCCAGTCCCATCTCTGCCACTGGCTGGCCACGAGGGCTCCTGCCAGGTGGGGAGTCTCTCAGGGCTTCCTTGCCCTTCTCTGGAAAGTGGGCGAGAGTGAATATTTGGAGGATAAATGAGCATCTCAAGTCCCCTCTTATGAAAAACAAGAATAATGAGAGGTCTCCCTCGTAGGACCCTTATGAGGATTACACGAAGTAACACAGGTAAAAGGCGCTTAGACTGAAGCTGGTGTGCAGGTGGTGTTAACAAGCGCTAGCTGGAAGCAAAATGTAAGAGCAGGAGGCAGAACCCAGGCGGACTCCAGCAAGCAGAGCAGAAGCCCACTTGTACTGCATGTGGAGCTGCCATAGCCTTGAGACGCTTTTTCACCAGATTTTTAAAGCTGATGTCATGACCTGGGCCACTACAATCAGGGTGGTCCCTGTCTTCCAGTGAAAATCATCTGGATGACATGTATTGCCCGTCAGTGCAGAGGGAGTGAACCTGGTGTTCCGTCACACCTGAGAGGCTGGTACCATGGGCTTCTCTGTCCACGTCAGTTTAGACCCTGATCAGGAAGAAGGGAGAAACTCTTGCTCATACTGAACACTCTGCTTCCACTGGGGTGAGTTTTAACTCAGCCCCCAACATTTAAATGCTCTTCACCTCAGTGACCGATGGAGCTGGTCGCAAGTCCAGGCACAGTTCTGAATGGGGACCCTGTGAATCATCCCAGCATCACACAGGGCTTTAAAGGGCTTCATCTTGGGCTAAAGCAGCAGTGAAAGCTCTGCATGTTGGCTTTCTTCCAAATCCAGTTCCCAAGGCTAAAATTCTCAAGTCCAGAACATGCACTGTTTAATTACCTGACGACTACTGAGTCTCGTTTGAGAAAACACAGTTTGATTGATGGGTCCAGCTGTGGCCCTCGTGCAGCGTGAATTTTCTGATCACTTTAAGATGCTGGCTCCGCAGCTGTCACCTGGAACTTTAACATGCACTAGCACAAAGCTGCTTTACAGGCTCGTCTCCATCCACGAGAGAGGGACGGCGTTTCCCAGGGAAACTTCAATATACAATTTGTTACATATCCTAGCGATGCTGTCATCAGTGTTAATGTTTTTGTTTTTCTTAAATGTCCAGATTTGTGTAATTGAGCAGTTTAAAATGGGGTGATCTCAGGACAGGTTTTGCCCAGTAAAGGACTGTTTGCTGAAGTCCTGTTTTTCTCCTGCTGACACAGTGATGCTTCTGACAGCTAAGATGGTGGAATGGGATTTCAGATTCTTCCATTCCCACAATCTACACAATTGATTAGGGAAACCATCGGAGGAAGGGCCAGTCCACCGTCGTCCTCACCAGGGCTGTCGGAGCAATCAGGATTGTTGAAGGAAGAGCTAGAAGCAGGGAGACTGGCTCCTCCTTGGGTTGGGGAGGTTTGGGGACAATGAGGCAGCAGGTCTAAGCTTGTCTCTGAGCCATCTCTGATTGTGTTTAGGGCATGTTCATTGGGTTCTTACCATCTTCCATCAAACCCACCTGCGCCACCCCTCCGAGATGTAGTAGGAAGAAGATGTAGTTGTGATGGCAACTTTAGTGAGAAGAGGGACCTAGGGTTTTCAAATGGCCAAGCAGAGAATGAGAATAACAAGTGTTTTATACAACATCATTTTCAATAATGCTTTCTTGTCAATTGAAGTATAGTTGATTTACAATGCTGTGTTAATTTCAGGTGTACAGCACAGAAATTCAGTTACATATTTATGTTCTTTTTCATATTCTTTTCCATTATAGGGTATTACAAGGTATTGAATATAGTTCCCTGTGCTATACAGTAGAAACTTGCTGTTTATCTATTTTCAGTAATGCTTTCTCATATCCTTTCTTTGTTGGGCTCCAGTGACCTGCATAATCCCAAAGTCTGCAGGAATAAAGGCAATCTCAGTGTAAGAAGGGCATCTGGATGTCTAACTCTGAGGAAACAGATCATTTATGTGCTTTCAAGGTCACCCTTTCCATTGCCAATCAAAAGGAGAGCAAAATAATCATTTAGTTGGAAATGTCTGTTTTGACATTACAGGGAGGTGAAGAGATTTCTCTCTGAACTCTATAAACGTTAACAACATGGCCCATTCTGTAGAAGTGTTTCTTTCCCTTCTTCTTCCTTTAAGGACATTCTACTCTAAACCCACTCAGGTGCGTTTAGCATGGGAACAACTCATGACCTTGACCTTGACCACCATTAAGTTCCCTGCGAATGCTTCTGCTGGTTTTGATAACACTGAGAAAGAGAAGAATTAAGTATCTGGAAAGTGCAGTAATATACTCCTTATAGGGAGCATTTAGATATTTTTGTTGGGAGATTATTCCACACAAAGTAGAAAATCCTCCACAGCATTCAGAGTTATTTATCCCCATAAAACATACTGACTTTGATTTTCTTCAGCAGAACTGAATTTCCCAAGCGTACTTCCTCCTGTGCAAGGGGGTTTCCACCCCTGCACGTGGCACTAACCAATGATAATTTCAGTTCCTTCGGTTCAGAGAGAATTTTCTTGTTTTTGCTGTTTTTCAGGTCCCAAGTCAAAGATGTGAACTTGTTCGTCTTCTTTATTGGTTTGTGGGAGAGCCACCCAACGGCAGCGTCGCTGAGACTGACCGTGTGAGGAGCCCTGGTCCAGGGGAGAAAGGAATGAATGGTCACCGCTGTAAAGCAAAGGGTCAGGTGGACACCGGGTGACGCAGGCTGCTCGCTCTGAGTTTGGAATCATGGTGATTATTGCGGGACTTATTGCAAGAGTGGATGAACTGGACTTTGCAAAGCTGTATATGTAACTTCCGTTTTATTTCAGGGTGTGTAATGAAGGGATGGGGAGAATTCTCAAATCTAGGTACAAAATAGCAAAGCTTAGGAGTATTACTGATAATTTCTATTTTTTTTTATAAACCTTCTGGCTATGATTCACCATTTTAATGTTAGGATTTTTCTTAACAAACTAAAGGAAAACCACAGGGAATATATATATATTTTAAACAAAAGAGCACTAATCTACTTCACTCTGACAGTGATTTGCATTTAATGTGCAGGACTGTTTGTTTTTACATTCTTACCTAAGACGCTGAATTTTTTTT